GACTTTTTATCTTTTTGGTAATGCCCTTTTAATTCAGTATAATTATAAATACAAGTTAAAATTGAACTTCAAACGCACCAGAAAACAGTAATTCATTCTCAAAAGAAATTAAAAGGGGCAGAGGAAATTTTACTGTTTTTCGCTAAATTATTGTTAAATATTAAAGAACAAATCAAGGAAAACAAATGTAAAAAAGTACTAATTAAAAGTATTGATTTTTTCGCAAAAATTTTACTTGCTGAGAAATTTTTTTCAAATATTTTCATATTATTATTCTAGTTTTTATAATTATTTTTTTAGTAATTAAAAATAACTTCTTTTTTCTCCCTAGTCTTTTTCATTTTGAACTTTTTGATTATTCATGGTTAGGTTTTTGGTCTAATCAGAGTTTATGTTATAGCTTTTTTAAGCAATGCAGTTTGAAATTTTTCATCAAAAATTTTTTCTTCTAAATTATTATAAAACGGCATACCCCAGACTAATATTCGTGGTCCTCTCATAACTGCTCTATTTGCTGTTCTTTTCTAAGCGACACTAGAAACTTCTCTTTTCAAGCATCTTTCTCTTTCAGATAACTGCCCTTGGGCTCGATAAATACTTGATAATACAGAATTTTAGGAACTTCTTTTTGCTGCAAAAATAATACATAATCAGGTTCCAGAGGCTTTCCATCGGCAAATTCATAAAGTTTAAAAAACCGTTCATTCCGAATTAAATAAACTTCCTCGTATTTTTCTTTAAGTTTAGCATATAATTTAGCCAGGTATTTAACGAAATGCTTTTCTTCCGAGGTTCCAAAGCAATCATTAAAAACATGTCAATTTTTGTCATCCACATTAAGATAAAGATTGGTTTCTTGGGGGGTTATTAATCGATTTACCAAATTCTTTATCATTACTTTCATTGGCGGCAAAATTAAGGGTTTTATCGTTAATTTTATCTTTAATTAGATGCGGTTGGAATTTTTTACTACCCCTCCATTCTGAATTTTTGGAAGATAAACTTCAAGCGATTTGTTCAAGGACTTTTGTTGCAGCCCCTAATTCTTTGTCGGGAGTTAGCGGTTTCTCCAACTGCGAGCCAAGCCCGGAAATAGTTATTTTGATATCTCCAAGGTACTCTTTTTTAGTAATAAATTCGTTAAGTGTTTTCAAATTAGGAAAATATTTTTTCAGATTAGAAAAGGAATAAAAATCAAGTTTATAAATTGCTTTTTTGATAACATTTATTTTGAAATTTTCTAGGCAAAAATCCTTTTCTTTTCGCTCAATACCTTTTTTAATTGGTTCTTTAAAGAGGTCACCGGCCAAATGAAATCCAGTTCGAAGGGATATTTTATAGACAGTATTTCGCAACGAGGAAGGAAGTTCAAAAATGTCTTTTCGTGAATACTTTTCCCGCTCATTGAGAAATAATAAACCGAATTTATAAAATTTAGTATTCTTAAAATTGTCCTTAATAATAAGATTTTTTTTAATTGTATTGTCTGGAATAATCCCCGTTTTAACCAAAGCAGCATTTAACTCTTGAATATAGCGTGGGTTGTAGGTGCTGTGATAATAAAGTTCTTCGCCAACTCGCATCTCATTTTCCAAGTCATGGTCAAACTTTCGTTTAGAAGGCTCAACAGAATCATCAAGTTTAAATTGATAAATTGGAACCTGTTTCTTTGAGTAGCATAGATTCAGATATTAAAGGAGATGCTTTTGAATACTTTCTTCGAGCCTATTCAGGGCAAAAAGGCAATGATTTAGGTGAATATTTTACTCCTCGCCACATTGTAAAATTCATGGTAAAAATTGCTAATCCTCAACTTGGCGAAAAAGTCTACGACCCTTTTTGTGGAACAGGTGGAATGCTCACTGAAAGTTATAAGCACATTAAAGAATGAGCAGGAGAAAAAACAAAGGAAAATCTCGATAAACTAGAAACGAAAACCATCTTCGGCAACGATATTAATGTAGAATCATGTCGGATGACTAAAATGAGCATGATTTTATTGGGTGATGGACAAACCAATATTAACAAAAGAAATAGTTTAAATCGTTTGGAAAATAACTATAAAAGCAAGTTTGATGTAATAATCACAAATATGCCTTTCATTCCGGGAACTTATGAGAGTACCGAAAAGAATTGTGCTAACCACAAAATTTTACTAAAAAGACATAAAAAACTTTCTTGTTGTCGCCAAAGCAAAGGTCGCAACCAATGTTTATCGTGAATTGCTTTAAGTAAAGAAGCAAAAGATTGTCAAGAGTGTTGAAAAACTAAATCAGAAAGAGACAGGAGAAACAAAGAAGCAAAAGGGAAATTATACAATTATTATCTAGGGAGTTTAAATAAAGATATTTTAGCTATTGAGCATTGCTTTAAATCAGTAAAAAGAGGAAGTTCAAAATCCCGAATAATTATGATTGTCCCTGAAAGAATTTTATTTGATTCGGATTTTTCTGAATTAAGGGAATACATCTATAAAAATAGCCATGTCAAATACATAATTTCTCTTCCGCGAAAGATTTTTTATACTAGAGAAG